CAGCTGTTGCTGTTTATACAGATTAAATTTTTTGTACAGATTACAGATTTTATTACAGTTTGTTGTCCTTTCAGTCCACCAGGAGGAAGTGGACGAGGGGACAGAGTCTGTCCAGATGCCCTTTCAAAGTTCAGTTCAACTGCCTGATGGTGCCACAGTGGAGTGGAGCCACTGTGAACCCAAACCCATGAAGGTCCATGTCTATCATAATGACCAGGACCAGCCTGAGGAGCAGGACAAGTTTTACCAAGGTCGGACGATAGTGAAAGAAAATCTGCTTCAAACTGGTGATCTTAGTCTGACCCTGAGCAAACCCACTGACAATGACAGCGATTTCTACATCTGCACTATTAATGTGGATGGAGACATCGTATGGCAGAATGTTGTACAGCTACGGGTTAAGGGTCAGTATTGTGGATACAGGTCAGAGGACAGACCACTCCTGTTTCTACCATCAGTATCACTGCTACAGTAATGTTTTTAAGAAAATAATGTTCTGGTGTGTTGTCTCTCAGTCCAGACGGAGGTGGAAGTTGAGGAGTGGTCTACGTCTTTCACACTGCCCTTCAAAACTGTGGCTGACCTGCCTAAAGATGCAACAGTGGAATGGAGGCGCTCTGAACCCAAAGCCATGATGGTTCATGTGTATCAGAAAGGCCACGACAAGCCTGGCGAACAGGATGAATATTATTGTGATCGCACAAAGATGAACAATGACCCACTGCAATCCAAAGACCTCAGTTTGACCCTTTATAAGCCTGGCTACAGTGACAGAGGAACCTACATCTGCACTGTTCACAGGGATGGACAAATCGTGGCACAGAAAGCTGTGGTGGTCAAAGGTCAGTACTGTTGATACAGTTCAGAGGTCAGAAATTACTGTAGGCCATTTCTCCTGCCCCCATCAGTATCATTGTTGCTGCTGTCTGTGAACTTGACGTTGTGGTTTATCGTCCTCTCAGTCTCCAGTGTGAAGCCTGCCAACCTGCCTTTCCAAATCACAGCTGACCTGTTTGAGGATGCCACAGTGGAGTGGAGTCGCTGTGACCCCAAACCCATGAAGGTCCATGTGTGTCAGAATGGCCAAGACCAGCCTGACAAACAGGACAAGCTTTACAGCAACCGAACACAAATGAAGAGAGAAATGCTTAAAACTGGAGACCTCAGTCTGACACTGAGTAACCCCAGAGACAGTGACATTGGCATTTATATCTGCACCGTCTACAGGGACAGCGACATCCTGGCAAGAAAAGTAGTGCGGCATCAGGCTGGAGGTCAGTACTGTAGATACCAGTCAGAGGTCAGTGTAGGCCACTGCTCCTGTGATCATCAGTGTCTCTTGTTGTCCTTTCAGTCCACCAGGAGGAAGTGGACGAGGGGACTGAGTCTGTCCAGATGCACTTTCAAAGCTCAGTTCAACTGCCTGTGTTGTCTTTGTTTGCCTTTGGTTGTGTTCCATGCAGTGGCTGACTGACACATTTCTTTTTTACAGCGAGAAGATGGATGAGAATGAAAAGAAGACAGGACCGAGATGAAACAGACGACATTGTGAACATGCCCTTGACGGCCAGCCCCATTGTGTAGTGCTCCGTATAATTTGTCTTATTCAGTATAGCTTTGGTGGATAATTGCTTGAATCTGAACTGCAAATTAAAACGGGGCTTGTGGATTCCTTCCTTCTCATTTGCTGTTGTCAGCCCATTCTCAACCGTAAATCATCAAATACTGCAGCTATGTCAGTGGCCATACGCTTCAAAATATGATGCTATAGGTATCCCTCTAACGTTACTACTGGATGTGCCTGTGTGGGGTAATGTTTAGACGTGCTGTTGAAGTCATGTGAAATAGAGAGCCAAATGTCCACGTATGGAGGTCGTGAGGAGGATGGAAGGCTCAAACAAGACTTTCATACAGGAGCAACCAAACAACCAAAGTTAATGTTGACTTCTTTTAACTAAAGTTCTACTTGACCACAGAGCCCTGCACATGCAAAACTGATGCTGGAGGGATACCGCTGACCAAGCTGCAGTTCTTGATGATATGGAAGTGAGAACGTAGTTCAGTTGTGTAAAATAGATGTTGCTGTTAAATATTCAGAGTTTCTCAGTTTCTTTAATGTTTTAGTTAAATCATTATTCCATTATGCTCCTTCATAACTCAGTACATGCATTAGTTTCTGATTATTACCCTTGCTTTTAAATCTCCTTCTCTGGAACACACTGTATTGTTTTTTTCACATTAGCTGTATGTATGTTTTACTTTACACTATGTATTGGATTGCCTCTTGCTACTGCCTCTTGGCCAGGACATCAATGTAAATGAGAATTGGTTCTCAACTGATTTATCTGGTTAAATAAAGGTAAAATAAATAAACAAAAATGTATCCAGCTGTTGAATTGAATTGAAGAATTGTTGTGTTTTCCTTACCTTAGAATAACCCGTTTTTGTGCCTGTGTAGGATAGACGAAAATGGACTAGGGAGTGGGTCGCCTTCCGTGAACTGCCATTTTTCTACAGTAACCCTGAAGGGACAAACAAAACACTGCTTCTAGATAGGTCTGTTTGCTGTTTTCGCGTTTTGTGGCCACCGTAGTTTCTCCTCTGTGCTTGAAAGGGGAGGGTGAATTGAGCCATTTTAAAATAAGATGTTCCTTTATTGATCCCACGTGGGAGAAATTCAAGTCATACACAGCAGCACAGGGGAATGTAGTACAACAAGTAGAGAAGTGTAGGAGTACAATAAAGAATCATAAAGTATAAATATTCTGAAGATATAATAGAAAACATAAGACTACATTGAAAAATATATACTCTATGTAGTGTGCAGTAAAATGGTGTGCAAATTTTTTTAAGCAGCATAACTAAAAACTAAACTGTACAAGTGCAATTTGGAAGGAGTAGTTTGTACAGAGAGTTTGTAGGTTAAGGATAAACCAGTCTTATTCAGCTGGGGTTGGAGGAACTTGGATTTTGAGGTTGGAGTTGGTGAGGTTCTTCCACTTTTCCAAGTTGGAAATCTGACTTCCCAGTCCAAATGGAACGCATTATAATCAGGTGATTATTTAGAACAATGAACAACATGAAGGAATGAAAGCAACCTGTCAGTCTGATTCTGCTGTTTGATAACAACTGGATCAACAAGTCTCTCTCTCTCTCTCTCACACACACACACACACAGTTGGTCTGAAGCTCCTCCTGTTTCCTCAGAAGTGTCTCAGTTGCATCCCACACCTCATTCAGGATTCAACCTGAACTCTGAGGTCACTGTACTTTTATTCATATAGTTTATGATAAATGAAGAAACCTATATTCAACATGAACTGATTAACAAACTTTATTAAGTCATCAAATACTGCACTTTACACTTTATTTATAGAGCACTTTTGTGAGGAAGAGTATTGAACATAAAAGTAAACACACAGTAGTACAATGAAATATGAAATACAACAATACAGAGAATGCACCAGACGGAGCCAAATGAACTAAAATCAGATTAAACTATCTGAGACTGTTATAAAGCTGATCAACCTGATATTTTACATTCTTACATCTCTCATGATCCGAGACACAGAAAAATGCTATCTGATCTGATAACTGATCGATAATCAGTTTGTCTCTAGTTTTTAACTCTTGTTTAGTTTTCCCACCATTATGCAAGTTACATACTTACACAGGTTACCTGGGATGAAATTCTTAAAAACTGTTGGGTCTCTGTAAATGTTATAAGGACCTAGACCTGCTCTATTTGAAAAGTGTCCTGAGATAACGTCTGTTATGAATTGGCGCTATACAAATAAAATTGAACTGGATTGAATTGAACGACCTGATGGGGCAGCATATACGGCTATAAATATATAGTCTGCCTGTTAACTGCAAATTGGTTGCAGGCAGTTTTTTTCTTCCAGAGCTATTTCACCTGTATTATTGAGGAAAATATAATAATATGTATTGAATCAGCACTCAGTAGATAATCAATGTCTCACTGGCTATGCTGTCTATTGAGCGGGACTTTAATGACATGGTGATTAACCTGTTTCTCTCTTCTACAATTACCGTTATTTTTGCTTTGATTTTGTAGATTGTTTTATTCTTGGTACAAAGTGTTGGGTTTTGTTAAAAACATTTTTGCCTCTACTTTTCTATAATGTTATTGTAGAGCAATTTTACATGTTTGTGTCATTATTATTTTTGTATACACCCGGTGCAACAAAGAGAGAGGAAGAAAACCAAGCTATAGCTACAAATTAATCTTATTATGAACACTATACCCATACACACATATATGGTCACAAGTATTTATATGTATAAGCCTACATCCATGCACCATGGAGGTTCCAGGTCCAGGTCCAGGTCCAGGTGGAGGAGGTGTCTGTAGCAGCAGCAGAGCGCTCCAGATACACTGATGATACTCTGTCACATGATCCAGAGGAACACACAGGGAGCTGATCTCAGAGCAATTCAGACTGCAGCACTGAGAGTCGTC